AAACAAGAGTTGTGGAGTCAGGCACTATAGTTCTGTGGATGGCAGACTCTAATACTGCCAGCCAAGCCCCTTTACAAGTCTGGACCTAAAATTGCTATTTTAACAAAATAAATAAAATTGATGGCTTTAAGAATTCATTTAGAAGTACAGCTGCATACTCAATGAATGTAGGAAGTTGGGGTTTGGGTTACAGCGAAGGGACTCAGTTGTGAGAAGACAAATATTCACCTGACCCATATGATTTGGTACAGGCTTTATTCCAAAGAAACAAAGGGACAGAGCTGTTGGCTACAAATGTCCAACTTGGGATCCTTAAAATTCTAGTTTATTAGGCGGATTCAAACACTGTAATCATAAACCTTGGGGCTGGTCCCCCCCCCACACACATGCACACACACACACACAGTAGCAGGCTACAGAGTCAGGTATACCTATCCTACAAGTGCTGGAGTCTGTCGTTGAGGCTCCTTGCAGTGTGGTGTTATCTTCTAGAAGGGGGTCGCCGGCTGGTCCTTCTGGCTGGGCAGGTCTGGTCGAGTTGTAGATCAAGAGGGTCACTTTTCACAGCCTTTTATCTGTCCCTGGCAGACTTTGGTGACTCACCAGTTTTCAGGCTTGCCTAATCCAGGGGTCATTGACCCTCGTGGGACTTCCCCACCTCGGTGGCTACTGGACGGCATCTGTCAGCCCCAGGGGTCGTCTGCATGTACGTGCAGGTTTGGGAGTCCGTTGATGAATTTAGAATAGGGCTCTGGAGCGGTTGATCTGGAGATACTCAGCCCAAAAGTTGGTCCCCGGTGTTGATTAACTCAGGCCATGGCTTCTAGTCCTTGATCAGTGACGTTTAGAGATTTCCCGGTTGTTACGTTGTCTTCTATTGAGTTCTTCAGTTGGTTGATCTGCAGCTTCCAGGTGATAATTGCTGTGTGCTACCTTGTTACACATTCAATCACTGATTCACTCTCTCTTTCAGGGGCCAGCCTGATACAGAGAAGGACAGTTTGATTCCTGCCCTTGTTAACATTGTTACAATGTATAACTTACTAAAACACATTTAGTTGAAAGTTGAAAGGTGAGGAGTATAAAATATAAGCTACAAATGCCATGGCACACAAATAGATAAAAATACCAAACTACAAGGGGAGATACAAAATGCACACATACACATTTTAAAACACAATTCCTTATCTTAAAGTGAAAGAGAGAGGAAGGAAGAAAAGGTAGAAAAAGAGAAACATATCCAAAGAAGGGAGAGGAAATACAGGCAAGAGGAAAAGGGGACTTTCTGCTACAGAGCCAAATAAAGAACAAATCATTTTAGAGAACTGAAAAGTTAATGTTGCAATTTGTAATTTTCAACATACTTCCAATGCAGAAAACTCCCCCGAACTAAGGCATGATTCTCTTCTGCTTACTCCCATTTTTCACTGGTGACATCGCATTTACTTTAATGGAGATACTCTAGGTTACTGAGTCCAACCCCTTCTTCCAAAGAGAAACATCCAAGACTAAAGCCTCCTAGCTGAGTGATAATCATCTCTTGTGCTCTCCCAAACCACCTGTCTACTTTTTAAAATCCATTGTTCAAAATAATACATTTGCATTAGCCTTCAGGCATTTGAGCCTTGAAGAATCCCTGCTTCCCACTTCCTGTTACCACTGCAAGGACTGCAGGAACTACTTTCTGTTTTGCAAGCCAGAAAGTAGTAGTTTTGCAAGCTGATAAGTTCACAAAATCATCCGACTCCAGGAGCAAAGGCTTAATGGAAACAGTAAATAGCTTGGGAGGCTCCCTGCTGCAATCATACTCTGGGGAGTTTCATGGCCCTTCAAGGCTGAGCCAGGCCACTTCTCTGGCCCAATCCCAAGCACTTGCATAGGCGTATATATGTATATATAAATATATATATATGATATTTAGTATATCAATATATAATATTTAACATTTATAATATTGTATAAGTAAATATCAATATACAATTAGTACATTTATTACTAATTGTATATTAACTTTGCTAATTTTAATTAATAATATATTAATAATAATAACGTCATTAATAATAATCTATAAATTATATAGACATATCAACTATATAGATATAAATAAGAAAGCTTAAGTTTCAGGTGTTTGATTCAGGGGATCAAATGTTGTTTCTACTCTGGGAATATAAGCTTCAGATGTGTAATGTGTAAAATTACTGGGAGCTGTGACAAAGCCGTACAAGGGTGAAATATACTGCTGCTGAATTTTATATGTGCATTTTATATCTGCTTTTCTGCATTCTTTCATATGCTTTAGGAGCAAGAGAATTCCTCAACCAGGCCAGTGCCCTGCTGGAAAGCAAGGGTATCTCCAGGATGTCAGCCTCAAATTTGTCTCTGGGGCAGGATATTATTATGTGCTCCATGGTTTGATCAGGGTTTCCACAGTTGCAGCCAGGTGAGGTTTTTAGGTACCACTTGTACATCAGGTGGCCACACCAACCATGTCCAGTGCATATCCTATCAAGGGTTGTCCACATGGAAGGTTGGAGGGATGTTGCATTGTTGGGTCAGAGGAGGGTTGAAGCCTGGTTGTTGCACTGTTGGGTTGGAAACAAGGTGTTTATTTGGGAAAGTGTTTTCTGCTCAAGCTTTCCTCCAAGATTCTTCAGTGTTGTGGTATATGAGGTGCTCAGTTCGTGTCCCAAAAGGTTTTCATGAAATCATGTGATGAGTTGGGAGATCCTGAATGGGAAGGTACAGATTGCTATTGATACGCATTATTTCTCTGTATGATGCTACATCCCGTCGAAAAGAGGGAGGAGTAATGTTTGAAAGTACTGGTAGCCACTGCACTGGAGTTAATATCAAAGTTCCAGAGATAGTTCTCATTACTGAGTAGAGTTGTGTGTCGATGAGTTTGTTATGTTGACTTGAGGCCCAGATGGGTGCACACTACTCAGCTGTTGAGAAGACCAGGGCTACGGCAGAAGTGTAAAGGACATCCACTTTTGCACCCCAGGTTGTGTTGGAGAGCTTTTGGGTGATATTCACTTGTGCCTTTGTTTTCATGGCAGTCTTTCGGATGTGATGATGGTAGGTTAGGGAGTGATCAGGGGTCACCTCAAGGTAGGTAGGAGTTGGGTCATGACATACTTTTTCTTAACAAAAGGTGACGTTGAGGGTGTTATGTGTCTTGCAATTGTCAAGATGGAATGCAGAGACGATAGACTTGGTTGGATTTAGTCATTCTCCACTGATGGAAGTATTCAGCCATTATTGGTAAATCAGAATTCAGTGTGGCTTCAGTATCCTAAAAAGATTTTGCTTGTGTGGTTAAAGTGATATCATTGGTGTAGATAAATTTCTGTGATGATGTGTAGGGCATATCACTTATGTAGATTGTTAAAAATTGTCAGTGCCAGAACACTACCCTGTGGAACGCTGTTGTTGAGTATTCTTGGAGTGCTGGCCTTATCTGGTAGGCAGACCTTCATCCTTCTTTTGCTCATTAAAGTCCACAGAAGCTGGAGTAATTTGGCACATGGCAGCAGCAGGGAGAATTTGAGCATCAGTCACTGTTTCCACACAGTATCATAGGCCGAGGAAAGATCTATGAGGGCAGCCTTGGTCTTGAGCTTATGGTGAAAACCAGCTTCAATGTTTGTAGTGATGGCAAGCACTTATTCACAGCAGCTACGATAGGGTCTAAAGCCAGCCTGTTCTTGGGGTCGTAATAGGTTGATGATAGGGATGATTCTTAGAAGGATGAGCTGCTCCAGGAGCTTATAGGTTTTGTAGAGCAAAGAGATAGGCCTGTAGCTCCTAGGGTCATGTACCGGCTTTCCTGATTTTGGCAGGGCTATCACCATTGCCTCATGCCAGATTTGTGGAATATAGCCGTTCTTTATCACAGTTGAAAAGAGAGCCAGAAGCCCATTGTTTTGCCGTGGGCCAAGAAGAGGGAGGAATTTTGGTGGAATACCATCTTTCCCAGCAGCTTTCCCCTTCTTTGTGGATGCTAGGCTAGCATCCAGTTCTGCAAAAGTGAAATGATCTGACAGTCAAGAGGACTGGACAATTTGCCATTGTCTCTCTTAATTTCGTTTGAGTTGGCCACCAATTTAGCAGCAACAGCATTTGAGCTGACTTGTGGGTTAGCGGCCTCTGTTGGGTTTTGTGAGGCTTGCGCCCCTTTTACCGCCTGGCCTGTCGGGGTGTGGCCCCTCCCCTCAACTCGCCTGCCACGACTTTGATGTTAAATGTACTTTAAAAGGGGTTTGCAGTGGAGATCTTTCCCGGGTGGGCCTCCCCGATACGTGGTGGTACTTATAATCATTCGACATGATGTTCCACGGGGCTCCGCCTCCCCTACACCCTGTCCACTCGCCAACCAGTTGGTGATGCGTTAATGCTGTCTTCTGGTCCTGTATGATGATCGGGGACCTGTCTACCGGCTTCCTGGCGCTCTTTCTCCCCACTTGGGGTAGTTTTTACATCAAAGGAAATATTCCTCTGACTAAGAAGGGGCTGCAGGGTTGCCTCCCTTATCCCAGCCCCCTCTCGGGGTCTCTGATGCCTCCTCTCCCTTACCGTAAGCAGGGAGCTCCCCTGCTTCCTTGGTATCCGCTTTTTCCGGTGGCTGTATAGGTGCTTCTGCTCTGCCTCCTGCAAGAGGCTTAAAGCTTTCTCCTGTGCTGCCTGCTTGAGCCACGCAGGCTGGGTTACCTCCTCCCCATGCCGGAGCCTGCCTCATGAGCTGCCAGCCCGTGTTCTCTCTCTCCGGCTCTCCCCCTGTCCCAGCTCCGGCAGGGCTTATAAACTTTCCCACAGCGGCTGGTACGGCTGCTGGGATTGGCTCAGCTGTTCCCCACGCCGGAAACAGCTGATTAAACAGCTGGCATAATGCCGGTTTGCACAGCTGCGGCTGCAGCTCCTGCTGCGGCTGCTCTGAGGGAGGTACGTTAGCCCCTCTGGGGGCTTTTTCTCGGGGTCTGGGGCCCATGGGGTCTACTCTCTCCCCCTCAAGAACCTGTGGGGGTGCCTCGCTGCCACAGGTTTGATGCATTAAGTTTCCTCAGGAAGCTCCAGGCCCAACGGCTTGAGTGCATCAAGTCTATGGATTCCACTCAGTCCAGCCAGCTTTGTTGTCTACAAGTATCCAAAGATTCAAGTAGGGCTGTGGCTGTTGCTGGGTCTCCAGGTTCTTTATATCATTGGAAAAGGGCTTAGCAGTCATGGCTCCAACAAGGGATGTACTGCTCTGAAACCTTGAAGGATGTTTTTTTTACCTGCAGCAATAAGCAGGGCCACAAAATGATTGTACTGTTTTGGCATCAGGGGGACAATGGATGGCTCAACAGTAAATCCAGACCAGTCTGCCCTATGAAAGTGCCATCTTGGCACTCATTTTGATGGCATGACAGGGATTTCAACTCCTACGTGACTCGTAATCGGCCTCTGCTGGCTGTGTGGGAAGTCTGAGAGAATAGTTTGAGACAGGTGTATAGGGACACCTTCATTATCTGACGAGACAAGGGTGAGGTCAGGGTTGCATTTCCTCCCCTATCTTGCTGGTAGAAAAGTTGTACAATGTTTGGTATCATACACAAGGTGAAGATCCTGGGCCGACATCCAGTGTATCAGGGCTTGCCCACTGTTGTCATTTACATCATAACCCCATTCAGTATGGGGACTGTTAAAGTCTCCCACGTATATAGTTAGATGCTAGGGGGGGTGGCAGATAGGAGAGCTGGATTAGGCCATTCTACATTAGGGGGTTTGTAGATATTGATAACTGTCAGCTCGCCAATATTAATAGCTGATGTAGCGGTGCCTCTGTGTTCTGTGGTTGGGATTGTGATATAGTTGGTAGTCTCATCTTTCACATAGATTGCCAGGCCATATTTTACATGGGGTAGGGTTGTGGCAAGCTTGTAGCTGTAGATCTTATAGCGGTGTGCCTGCTCATTATTAGCAACATGCATTTCCTGTAATGTGAGAACATTCATATAATCGATCTCAGCATCTTTCCTAGGTTTTTCCCGCAAGAGACCTTCCTTCAGCATTCAGTAGATAGATCTGTGTTCCAGGGTCTAATCTTTGGGGTCTTTGTTCTTGAAAGGGATTCTTGTAATCACTTCAATTTTGAGTTTTGCTCCATTGACCGGGAGGCTAGTTAAAGGCGTTCAGTTGCCTTTTTGGTGACAATAGTTGCAGACCCAGGAATTTTCTGCATTGGGCATTTATGAATATTGAGCTTTGGATAGACATAATTTTATATTATATTAAAATTTTAAACAATTACAGTTGCAAAGCAGTCTGGGATTCTTGGTTGAAACTTGCCATATGAATGAAAAAAATTGTTGCAACCAGGGGAGATATTCATGCAATCAGTTGGTCAAAGATCAGACAGCAAAGCTGAGAGCCAAGATACTATATAAAATTGCAGATCTGAGGAAAGAACAGGCTGCGCAAATAGGCGTGCTCCTAGGCCCGGTGTGCGAGTCAGCGTGGGAGTTTGCGCAGGAGGGCAAATGGGAGGGCCCGAGGCCCTGCCTGTGAGCCCCCCAGGGTAGACAGTCCCAGCCGCAGTCAGTGCACCAGCAGCATAATGCGGATGGGCATGAGCCACACCCCTCAGGTCCTCTAAGGGTCTGCGGCCTCCACCTTTGGCACCTCGGAGACTGCCACCCAGATGACGCCCATGGTGCTGGGCTCCACGCAGATGCTTACAAGTGCTGCCTGTCACTTTTTCAGGCTCTGGGGCCTGGGAGCATGGCCACCTCCCCTTGTGAGGTCTGCTCCCTTTTGGGGTCTCTGGCGCGCCAGCTGGAGGAGCTCCAGGCCACAGTCCAGAGACTGTGCCATCAGGGACTGTGAGCAGCAGATTGACTCCTACGGCCAGGCCCTTCTCCCCTGGGAGGCGGAGGGCAGAGCGCTGTTGCCCTCCAGGACAAGGGAGGACTTGGGGACCTCCCATTCTGTCCAGCCCAGGGGATAGGCCAAGGTGGTCAAGGGCCCCCAGGCCCGCTGCACCAAGGCCCCTGCCCCACTGGAGCTTTGCAACAGGTATGAACCTCTTGCAGCCCCTGCAGAGCCTACTGAGTTGCCAGCTCCCGCAGGCAACACAGGCTGTACTGTAGCTACCGCCCCCGCTCTCCCCAAGACAAAACGCAAAGTGTTTGTCGTGGGAGACTCCATCCTGAGGGGGACTGAGGGGATAATCTGCCTCTCTGACCCCTCAGCATGGGAAGTTTGCTGCTCCCCGGGAGCCCACATCCAAGACATTGTGGAGAAGATCCCTAAACTCCTTCAGCCCACTGACCACTATCCCATGTTCCTTATCCAGGTGGGCACCAATGACACGGCTCAGAGCGCTCCCAGCCGGGTCATGAGGTGCTACAGGGATTTGGGAGCGAGGCATAAGGGTCTGGGGGTGCAGGTGGTATTTTCTTT